CACCTGCATCTCCCCATCACTGCGTGAACAGTGAATAAGGAACTGACACATTATTCGGCAGTTTTATAAATACTGGCCTCAAAAAGGAAGACAAGCCCACAATTTTAATTCCCACAAAACAAAGTAACCCTGATAGCCAAGCTGACAGTATAGAAGAGAATGGCAAATATTCATCAGCTTTTGAGCTGTGATTAGATTTGTTAACTACAAGTAGACCAAAACCACCTGAATCCAGAAAAATCACATTACTTTTGCATTAAACCTTGTTGCCAATCTGATAATTTCTGATTAAAACAATGAAGCCTTTGGGTATAGATTATTTCTGATTTTTGATTATTTATACACCATGCCGTTCACTATCACAGAGAAATCACCTTTGTTACTAATCGTTTTTCCGGTAGGAATCGGAACAAGCAGAAGCAAATGAATAAATGATGACGTGGGAATTACAACAAAACGGACTGACGACTTGTGGGTATGAGTTTGAATAATAACATTTTACAAACTATTCAAGCACATTGCTAATAGGTGAGATTTAGTTTACAGTGTTGTCAGAGATTTATATAAAATGCTTGAAAAATGAGTTGTTACTTTTTTGAGTCCCAGTTGTAATGTCATTAATTTATTGTAGTTACTTTTACATATAGTGTCAGTGCAATCAGGTTGTACTCCTCATGACAATCCCTGCTCTGTTCACAAACTACAGGAGTATAATCTGCATTTCTAAAAAACCACAGTTTGGTTCAACATTTGTCTTGTTTCAACCTATTTTCTTATTATTAATACAACCTAAAATAGATAAGGAAAATAACAATCAAAAGAGTGGCCAAATTCCTCCATCACACCGAACCCAACAACATTTAGATGTGAATTACAGTTGTCTTAGCATCTAAATCAGAAGATTGGGAAACTACCTATGAAGGTGCACCAACTCCCCTTTGGATTGAACTTTTACCAACTCCTGCTGTCTGCAGGAGTTGGTAACTCCTGTTATCTGCAGTCTTCTGCACGCTACTACAACACTGAATTCCCTTTGTCTCGCCATACTCAAAGTGCCTGCACAAAGGCATAAGAAGCAGAGCATACAATAGATGATTTGGGTCATTGTCTTCAAAAAATGAAATGCAGTACATTCTGGCTACTGTCCAATTACATTTTAAAATGAGAAAGTTTTGACCGTGTTCATGGTTTTGTATCTACTGAGCAGCAACATTTAAGCAGAGCAAGTGAACTGGAAAGTTTTTAGAGAGTTATTTTCAGCTGCTCAATGCACAGTAATGTTTGTCAGTTCTAATCAAGACTGCACAAATTCAAATGTCAAATACTTGCAACTATCTGATCAAGAATAAATGACAAACAGGAGATTATTCAATTCCTTGTTGAACAACCTAAAACAACAACTCTGAGCAAAATCACAAATAATTCTTGGGTTGTCTGTGAATATAAGAAGAGAGTTTTCAAATCCATGCACCCAATGACACAGTTACATAATCCAATTTTTAGTACCATCATCTATTTTCCTCTACTATATTTTTGGCTTTACAGACTTCCCCGAAAGTATCCTTGTCCTTCACTAGCCACATAAAAAACACTTTGCTGAAAAATTTTGTTTGGAAGAAGCATGCAATGTAGGTCTTTTCCCATTCTACATATTACTTCATTGCATTTCTACACATTATTTAATTTAATTTGATTTATTACTCTACTGTCTCCTGATGCTCCAGAAGAGGCACACTCGAGGGATACAGACCACACACTAAGAGTTTCTCACAAGCATCATATGCATGTTCCATAACCTATTAACAGAGATCAGACACAGTACTGGGTGGGAGCAGACACCTAACAACGACAAAGCAATGAGATGACTACGGTCTTCTCATTCCTCCTCACCTATGCTGATGGCTGCAAATCACAAATCATAGACTCTAGGTACTCTGTGAAAAAATGCTGCACTTATCATGTGCCCTGTGGAGACCCCTTCATTATGGACCCTCTGCATTAACCTATTTAAGAAACAGTCATTCCTGTACGTCTAGACTGAGTGGAAGCAAGGGTGCTGCATCACTGAAACCCATACAAGCCCTTACAGACAGATACCGCTTTGACAGGGAAGTCTTCAGAGAAACCCTGCAAACCAGAGCCAGACCCACGTGTGACTCACTCCTGAGTTGTTCAAGCTCCAGCTCAGGCCAGCAGCAGTTTGTTACCTGGGTCAATACCACAAAATCTTCTCACCAGAAAGGATGGCTTTCTAAAATGGAATCACCATGAGCATGCCAGAGACGTGGCATGGGAGCAAGACATGGGGGAGACCAGAAGTGGGGCAGAGAAGGGCTGGCACCTTGTTAACCTCACCCATTGCCTACCAACATACATCGGAGACAAAGCTGCACCTCCAAGCTCCACATCACCGGAGTAATGTTTAGGCCAAGAGGATCCCACAGGCTCTGCTGGCAGCAGCAAAGTCCTCTGTCACGGGAGACGGGGCTGAAAACACGGCCAGTTGCCTCCCACGACAGTCCTTTTTGGCAAAGGAAAAAACCAGTCTCCTTGTGAAGGCCTCAGGTCTCTGAGCCACAGGGAGCAGCACTGCACCGCAGAGCTCGGGCTAGCGATGGATACAGCACGTTCAGCCAAACTGTGGATGGAGGGAGAGGAGGAGACCCAGCTGCTTTTAACTTCTAAAGAGAAGTGAACTATCACACTGCAACAAAAAGACAGCGTCACGCCAAAAAGTCTGGCATTTATATGAAAATGAAGATGTCTTGCAGGCAGGGATACACAGAAGACCCAAAGTCCCCTAATCAACATACTCCAGGCCCAAACGAACTGCTGTTAAGAGGATGATACATTGGATTTTGTCATTTAATGGGGTCCAAAAAATGTATCTTTTAATCCCTTTAGGCATTCAGAGGGAATACTGAGCAACAATGCCAGGCACAGATGACAGCATGAGTGGATAAATGACTGGATTTTAGGATATGGAGCTGAATTCTACAAAAGATGTCTAAGTAAATGAAAATACCAGCACATAATGCAGTTACTCTAAACGCTTTCAGTAGGGCAGTTACTTGCACAGAATTTTGACCTGTATAATGTTAGGCATTAGCATAGACCTTACGCTATTTTACCCATAATTGATTTCTCTCAGTTTCACGCGACTCCCTGCTGGCTTCCCACTACCTACTGACCAACTATTCCAGGAAAAACATTGTATGCAACTCTGCAACGTACTCTAACTTTTATCCAAGAAAATAGATCACTTATTGCAATGGGAATTTAGTTAAGAGAACATCCCAGAAGGAAAAAAAAGTTACAAAGCAACTAATATTACTGGAATGACAGAAGAAGAAAGAATTTGACTTGTTTATTCAATTCTAAGTTTAAGGCCTACACCAATCCTACCATACTGGATCAAAAAAATCAGAAAATTTTAAAACTATTATTAACCAGTGCTTCTAATCTGCCTAGTGATCTGGATATTTCCTTGTGAAACCTTCTCAATTAGAACTTGACAACGATCACATTAGTGACATTTGCCTCGAGGTGGTAGGGTGGGAAGAATCTCACAACTTTTTTTTCTTGGGAACTAGAACACGCACAGAGTAATTGAAGTGAAAAAGGGTACTGAGATACTTCCAATATCTTGTTGAACAATTACGTGAAGAAGAGACACTTCAGAGGCATGGCTTCTTAAGGATCATAGCCACAAAGAACATTTGATCAGAGATCAATGAGCATCTGCCATGTTATATGCTTCCCTTCCAAGTCACAAGTTGGAGCATAAAAATGGATGTTGGCACAGTTTTATCAGTGTGAAGTACACGGTGCTCCTTAGCAATACAAGACTCCATCTGCACACATTAGAGTAGGACCAGACCTACAGTTATGATCACACATCAGAAGAGACCACTCAGACCAAATTTTATAACAGTCAAGGTCTGGGGGGTTTTGCCCCATTTTCACAAACTTACAAGGAAACCACATATATTTTAGATGTATTTCAGGGGAATCTGTACTCTTCAAAGCAGCCATTATTTTATTCTGTCAGATTCTAATGCCTCATAAATGACTCACTGTTTTTAGCCACTTGCCAATTAACCCCTCTTGTTATCAACTCAAAATTGTTTCCCGTGATCGGTCTTGAGCACCATGTAAAAGAATTCTCCATTTCAAATATAATATCAGGCTCTACAGTTCCACAATTTTGCTACTTTTGAGATGACAGCACAGTTTCACTGTGACTAAGGACTGCAAAATCGTGCTCCATGTAATTGAATCTAAAGATCTGACAACACTGACCTTATCAAGAAATGAAACTTTTGGCTGAGGTTCAAACCATGCACAAGAAATAAGCTCTTGCTGGTTGTTTGTAAAAGTCATATAAAAATGTACTTATTCATTATTAACAACTTGTAAACTGAACACACTGCAAGTCTCAAACTGCCGACACGTAAAGTATTACTTAGTACAATCGTATCATTTACATCTAATTCTTGTATTAATTTTGGCAGCACAACCAAGCATCCCTTCTTCTGATGGTAGGAGAGTTATCGTAATGAGATAAACATTCAGACTTCACACTAAAAACTGAGGACAGAAGAAATGCTAGGGGCCAGATTAATTTTGTGAATGCCCATAGTGCTGCTGGCCTCGGTGACAGTCCAACTTCAGTACAAGATGTGCAAATAAAAGATTCTAGAGAGAATCAGGCCATTGGTATCCCACTGGGGTCATGATCAGGCCAGCAGTGACAACACAGGACCTGTACTGGTGGACCATCTCCTTTACAGAAAAATAGAATAGAAGGCTCCAAGCAAATCCCAGGTAATATCAGCACTAGGATTTCATTAACATCACAGTCTACCCCAACATCTGAAAGTTTCATAAAAATTCTGTTAGGAGCTATTGTAAATAATCACAATTGCTCTGCAGCAGAATGCCATTTTTAAAGGAGGCACGAAAAACCACGGGGCTTTTAAGACAATACCATTATGTACCTTTCTTGTTCTTGCATGTAGTTTTCAGGACGCGGTTTCCAGGACCGCATTTTCCATGGTGAGTCACACATACTCCTTCTGAAACAATCCACTCATAACACACCGGGTCTTCACAGGGAATAGATTCAATTAAATGCGGACAAGCTGCCAGGGTGCCTACCGGATCCACGATCACTTGCCTTTGTCTCATTCTAAAACCTGGAAAAAGAGAAACTGAATTAAGTAGACAACAGCAAAAAACTCTTTATACCAATAATCTAGTAGCAAAAGGACTATATAGGGCATCTGTAACTGGAGGATATAAGACAAACAAGGGTACAGCACTTAGAAAGTGAATTGATTGGGACAGCACTTGGCTGTATGTGCCCACAGCCTGGGCATGCAAAATCTAACAGTGCCTAAAGAATTCCAGTAACCCACATTTTTCAAATTTTTTTTCCTTTCATTGACACTAGATAGAAATACACATATCCAAATATAGGAATTTGCCACTGATGCATATATTAAAGTAATAACAACTAAAGATAAAAAGAGAGAACCAGTTAAGGTATTGAAGATACAAAAGACATCTATATTCTGCCTGGGAACCCACTAATGAAAATTCTTGTTTTGAGATACAGCAGAGCAGTTTACGGAGAAATTAGTATTCCACTTTATGAAGGTGTAAGGATTTCTGATACATAATGCATATCAGACCCCTTTGAAATGACATCCTATTAAATTGGAAGATTCAAATGTAAAGTGGAAGAAAAAGGTTACAGAAATAATGAAAGAATTGATTACATAATCTACCTCCTTCTGAATAAAACTGAAAGTCATGTTGCTATATAAAATGCAGAACTAATAGGCAAGTCTCTTTCAGCATGTTTTGTTATGTAAATGACACAGAATTCTAAGAAAGGCAGAAAAAAATCCATGGCGGTCTTTCCAAGAACAGTCTCAGACAAGGGGCAAAAACACAACATCAGTGGAGGCCATATGGAAATGCCTTGGCCATAAAACAGAAAAGGAAAAATAAAACATTCCAGAGAATATAAGAGACTGAACTTCCACTATTCTCAAACCAGCAAAAGGAAATAATTCAAAACAATTTAAAAATTAAATGGTTTTGCAATTGCTTATATTTAACCATATTTTTTTTTAATTTGAAAAATTCTGACCAGCTCAAATCACTTCCAAAACTTACTTTGTTTTCAGAAAAGTGTAATTTCCAAACAATAATATTCATTCCCTGACATGAACTCCAACAGTCATCTTTTCAACTTATTTTGTAAATGAAAGAAAGGCTCTGCAATGGATCTCAAAGTGTTGCAGCAAGAAACACTTACGCTGGGCAATTCAGATCTGGTGGGGGGGTTAAATTACATTTGAGTACTCTTCTTCTATGAATTTAAACCAAACCCAGAACAATGAGAACAATCTCTTGAGTGAATTTAAACTCCAAGATGGCAGGAGGAATACCCCCCCCCAAGTCCTGCCACCCCTCAATCTCATCTGACAATTGCTGTTGAATCCAAGCAGCAGGACTTCAGAGGAGAATCAGGGAGGGACAGCCTGGCACTACGGAGATTTGCATCTGCTATCCCAAGAAATCCTCCTTTGCTACAACTTCAGTGCAGGATAAAAGGATCGGAATCGGGCTGAAAATATTATCTTTTTTTTTTCCTTCTCTCAAGAATAACTGCAAAAAAAGCTTTTAAAGGTCATATTCCACTCCTGTATGCACATCTAAGAGCTTCATCCTATGTTAGAGTAATTAAAAAAAAAAAAATTAAGCTCCTGATCAGAATTTGACACCACTGCTTTTGCAATCTTATCATAATATTCCACTACTCGCTTTAGAACTCCCAATGCTGCAAAAACAATATATCAAAGCAGCCGTTACCTCTTCTTCCGTGGTGGTCCTGGCAGTTCTCGGGCAGGCAGGGACCCCACACCGACCAGGCGGACACCACGCAGGCAGATGGGCACGGCAGGTAACACAGCTGGGAGCTGGAGGGAGCAGGACCCAGGCAAAGCTTCCCATCAACTGGTCTAGTAACTAAGAGGAAAAAAAGAAAGGAAAAAGGAAAAGCAGGACTGTAGCTTTGTCCTGACCAATGCACAGATCTCCGGAGTTTACTGCTGGCCTTCGCTTTCCAGGACGCACCAAAATCCAGTGCTTTGTTAGGGTCTTATCTCCCACAGCAAAATGTTAATCCGCCGTTCAGCCAGGCACATAAAGTTTTATCTAAATCATCCATATTCAGCAGGCTAATTAAGACTATGCTTAATGGTAAATAGGTGCTTTAATACTAAATTCAGTGCTGATTTTGTACAGTGCTGGAGCAAAACTAGAATCTAATCCCCCACATTCATGGCCAAGGAGAGCGCTTTACATCATACCAAAGAGAAAGGTGCAGAAGAAGAGAATGCACAAAGCACATGCTGCAGTCGGGAGCCAGGGAGAGGCAGCTGCCAAAGCCTGAGCACGGGGGAGTCTCCCCATACCCATCCCCTTCAGGGGTGCTGCCACCTCTAGATTACCGCTGCAGGGTCCAGACCTTTGAATTGACTTCATCTACTTTCAACAAGATTGAGCAGAGCTCTTGGTTTCCTCTATAGGGACATATGCAGAAAGCATCCTTCCTGCCTGGGAGGTGAGATAGTTCCTTGAGTTGCCTGCACCCAAGGCAGGCATGGATCTCCAGACCTCTTCATCCAAGAGATGAGCTGACCCCAGGCTCTGCCCAGTACCAGTTGAGTTGATAGTGACAATAAATTTGGAAAGTTGATTCCCTTTGTATTTTCATTTATCATAAGAGACGTCCAGTTTCAATTAACTTCTCTTGCCTTTTTATTAGGGGCAGAAGGAGGAAGGAAAAGAAGGGGAAATACTCTTAAATCTATCTTCTGAGTCATTATATGATATTGCATTTTAATTACATTATGGGCTGAATGTGGCTGCCTCTTTAGATAAATCAATATCAAAGCAGTCTTTCAAAAGACAAAGGCTTGTTTGAGTTTACTTTGCCATAGAATTACCAAGACTTCATTAATTTTTATAGCTACTGAGTTTGCTTTATCCTCATTTTTATTTTTAATGTCTATTTTTCTCTGCTTCCACGCATGGAATTGACTTGAAAAGAATTTATAAAAATATGCCCAATATAGGAGTAATCTTTTCTTTTCCTGATATTTTACCATTTTCTTTACAATGAATCATTTGAAGAAAAACAATTTTATTTTTTTTAACACAAGACTTCAGTGCTCAAAATCCCAGTAAAATTCGACTTGCACATCCTGAAGCTGAGACTTAAGACCAATATCAGTGCTTATGATTCCAGCTCATCAGAATAACAGGATTAAACAACAGACATGATTTAATTCTATGCTGAAATATAATATGTTAGTAAAAAAGACCATTTTCTGAATGATCTCTGAGACACTGTAAGGCCTTTGACAAGTTCATTTAGAGATTACAACCAGGTGGCATAAATACAATTCACCTGAATGCTAACAAACAGACCTGTTCCAGACCTCTCAAGTGAAGTGACAGAATGAGATAAATATGGGAGTTTTAAGGATAAGAGTATTTATCTTACCAAGAAGTTTCATGCATGGCTTAACCTGCCTTTCAGCATCAAGCATCGCAAAACTGTATCATTTTTGGAGAGTTCACTTGAAGAAATTAAATTAATTTGAGTGCATATGATCAGCCCAAGGAATAAAGTCCAGTCCTGCTCTGCTCTAACTCAAGGCACCGTCGTTAGGAATGGCTCTTTCCCCCTCACCGATTTTCAGATTGTTTCTATATTGCAATTTAACCATCTAAATGTGGACGTCACTGATAAAGCAGGTTGGTTCTCCTGCCCTGAAAACTAACCAGCTACAACCAGTGGTGCCAAGGCTATTTTACATTGAGTTAGGATAAAAGAAAAACAAGAAAAAATTACTACAAAAAGTTCAAGGGGTGGGGTTTTGTTGGCAGGCTGAGTCTACCAGCCATCCCAGACTCATGGAAGACTCCTTGCTATTCTGGAGGAAAACTCTGCCTTCCTCTTCCCACCAACCACCTTCCTGATCCTCTTCCTCCCTTGGGTTAATGCCGCTGTTAATTCTGGCAATGGGAGCTCTTTTCCAAGGACCAGTATCCTATTTGTCACTAGAATAAGCCTGTTTTGTTTAGCCACTTCCTTAAGTAATTCCATATAATCTGTAAAATGCAAATCAGAAAATACACAGACTATTCTAATCAAATACCCAAACATATTCCAGGTCTGTGCCAGTTCATACGCATTCTACACTGACTACAATCCTCCAGTGAAAGCCTTCAGGAATAAGACAAGAACAAGAAACAAGCTGCATTTTTTTTACATAGCATCCTTTTCCGAAACCAGGCAGGTACAAAGAGCCCCATTTTCCATCCCGATAACCAGAGTGACTGGATGGACCAGCAGGGTCCTCTATAAAAGAGTTTCATCCCTTCTTCAGCCATTTGATTGACAACTCTGATTTCCACTGGTTTCATTTAAAAGCTTGATATGATTTTCTATCGCTATTCTTTCATACCTTAATACTTTTTTTTTTAAATAAACTATAAGTTGATTTTTTTCTGTGAATCTTTTCAATGCCAAAATTCTCACACACTGTAGCCTCCAAAAAGACATAGGTAGCCAGGCTGGGGACGCCCTGTTCAGGAAAAAACCTCACATTCTGCTTATGATAAACGAACACAGCTGCTAGGACTGTCTTTGCATACTGGGCAGCTTTCTGATCTTGCTCATTAATTGACTTTGTGATGGAATTTTCCTACATTCATATACAAAAAGTGCTTTTTTGTGTCATTATTTTCCTTGTAAAAATATTAGCCACTTTTCTGGGGGAAGGGGAAAGACGGAAGCCAGGGAAGAGAAGAGTGAGAGGGGGGAAGCAATATCTCTGATTCAAGTAGCAGCTTACTTATTACACTTGTTCGTACCTTTTAAAATCCTATGTTCTTCCCAATCTATAGAACAAACTGGAAAAAGCAATCAAGTACTAATCTGGGAGCCCCTGAAACATTGCACTTTTCTATAGCTGTTATATTGGATCTATCCTTTATAAATGCGACTACAGCTGTTCCCAGCACCAGTGTCTGCCTCAAGTTTGTATTTTACTATTTGCTGTTATTTTCAGGTTATTGCTACCAGCAGGAGATAATAAATTGGGTTCTAAAGTATCTTGTTTCCTTATATTTTTTTACTGAGGTAGTGATTTGGGGGAAGAGTGGAAGAGCAAATCAGCCCTGATATGATTATTTCCATAATGTAATTTTAAGTCAATAAATAAATAATCTCTGAATATAGTCATATGGACACATACTTGCCGGCATGCATACCAACACTGTGGTAAAAAGCAATGATGACCAGAGAGATGGAGAAACGTACAGGACAGGATTTTGGTTGCAATGATTCCTTTTAAATTTAGTTTTTCACTCCTCAGGAGATATATAACACTTCTTTCCTGGACCTTAACTTAGTTTCCTTTTTACAATGAAAAAAACAAGTATTTCTGATATTAACAACTAAATGAGACATTTCTAAATATTGTTAACATATCTGGAATACACAAAAAGAATATCCGAGCTGTCTCACACATAGTGGTGCAGCCATATTTTAGCTAATATTCAATTCTCAAGGCAATAAATCCAGATGTTTACCACATCTTTTGTCAAAACTGAGCCAAATTCATGATTGTCAGGGTACAAGAAAGGGAGGACACATTGTTGTAAAAGTTCTTACTGCCTTTGCCAGGACTTATAAACCAAAGACACTTGGATCAATACGAAGGGAAGTTACTTGAGAAAATCACAAAGGAATGAGCTGTGTTACAAAAACACCTACATGTGTAAAACATAATAGGGATAAACCCAGCACAATGTTTGTAAAGTAATTTGTAAGCAAAAACAAAAGATTAGACAAAGGAGAAGTGGTGAATGTGATTTAACCAGCCTGGAAATGACAACAGCCCCAGTCTGGTGCATCCCTCCATTACAAAAGCCTAAAGCACCCCGTGCCTGATGGAACGGGGGCCTTTATGCTTTTAAGAAGCAATTAGTTTTGAAGCCACAAGGCACAAAGTTGAAGTCCTATTTTCAATGAAAATCTATTTCATAGACAAGAAACAAAGTATGAATAGAAGGCTAATCACAGCATGAAAGAGGGTTAATAGCGGATCGCCAAGAGCAACAACGGTTTAATGTATTCTAGAACAATAAAGATCCTGACAATTTTACTCAAGTGATACAGACTATTAGCACTTCGTGGAAGAGAAAGTCTCCCTGTGCTCATACCCTGTGCTGTATGATGGGATCCTGATCCCAAATGGGATACTGTGTTCTTTTGCTACAGCAGAATTTATAGAGATTATCGACAGAAACCGCAGACCAGAGGTGACAAGTCATCAAGAGTGTCCAGGAAAAACAGTGGAGCCAGCAGGGATGCTGGGATGGCAGGGAAGGCAACGATGGCAAGGAAGAAGAGGATTCTCCACAATGTTTGAACCTTGCTGGCTGTTGTCTGGAAAAGGCCACCAGATGCTGGCAGTTACTGGAGGAGACCACCAGAGAACGTGAGAGAAGCCACAAGGAAAACAGGAAGAATAACTCAGAACAAACTGTCACTGTTTTGAGTAAGATTAATTCAGTTCCAGTGGCAGGAAATAAGGATAAAAATACAAATGCAATAAAAAACTTAGCTTTCAAAGATAAAACCTTGAACCAAAACCTAGTATCTCACGTGAGCAGACTGGGCAGCATATTATTTGCTGCATACCAAAGCCAGTTATATAAATAAAAGTAGTTATAAAGAGATAAATATTTCATGGTCATATCAGATAGCTTGTTGACAAAAAAAGGCATGTTCTTTACAAGGCACCTTTTAGAAGGGACACTTCTTTCAGTGTCAAAGTCTTTTTATACATTATTTTCCTCTTGTACTTTAATTAGTTTCTAGACATGAAAGAACTGAAAATATTACACCTCTAAAAGACATTAGGGAAAATGGTTTTTTCCCTAACAGA